TGGTGAGGAGAAGTTGTGACTGGTTTTAGTGAGGGATTTGGGACCGATGATGATCATGTCAGATTTATCACAGTTGAGTTTGAGGAAGTTGGTTTGCATCCATGATTTAATGTCAGTGAGGCAGTTGGTCAGAGTGGAGTGAGTAGCAGTGGTAATGGCCTTTGTGGAGATGTAGAGCTGGACATCATCGGCGTAGCAGTGGAAGTGAAGACCATGTTGACGTATGATATTACCAAGAGGGAGCAAGTAGAGGATGACCAGAAGAGGACCAAGCACCGAACCCTGGGGGACGCCTTGAGACAGAGGAGCAGTGGAGGAGGTGCAGTTGTTGATGCTGATGAACTGTTGTCTGTTTGTAAGATAGAGCAGGAGAGAGCAGTTCCGGTGATATTGAGGGAGGATTCGAGGCGGGAGAGAAGGATGTTGTGGTTGATGGTGTTGAAAGCTGCAGTGAGGTTGAGGAGGATGAGAATATTGAGGTGACCAGCGTCTGAGGAGAGGAGGAGGTCGTTGGTGACTTTGAGGAGGGCTGTTTCAGTGCTGTGCTGTGAGCGGAAACCGGATTGAAATGGCTCGAACAGATCGTTGGAGATGAGGTGGGCTTTCAGTTGTGTAGTGACAACGCCTTCCAGGGTTTTTGACAGAAAGGGAAGATTGGAGATGGGCCGGAAATTGCTCATGGTGTCAGGGTAGGTCCCGGTTTTTTGAGGATGGGGGTGACAGCAGCCAGTTTAAGTGTGTCGGGGACTGAGCCAGAGCTGAGGGAGGAGTTAGTGATGACTGTGATGAGTGGTGAGATGGCTGGGAGACAGTCCTTGACAAGATTAAATGGGATGGGATCCAGGATACAGGTGGAGCTTCTCATTCCTATTGTGAAGTTAGACAGCTCCAATGGGGACACAGGAGAGAACTGAGAAAGGGGCTGAGGGGTGGAGGAGGAGGGGCAGGTGGACTGATGGAAAGGGGGGGGAGTTCAGGTTGCTGTAGATGGTGTCAATTTTTGTTTGGAAAAATGACAGGAAAGAGTTACATTTGTTTACTGTGAAGGTTTGAGAAGCTTGTTCATTGTGGAGAAGAGAACCTTTGGGTTAGAGGAGCCAGAGTGTATGAGGTGTGAGTAGTAGGTGGACCGGCTGAGATGAGAGCGTCTTTGTATTGTTGAAGGTAGTCAGAGTGGACTTGGAGATGGACTGTTAAACCTGTTTTCTTGCAGTCTTTCAAGCTGGCGCTTACAGGATTTCATATGGTGGAGTTCAGGAGTGTACCAGGGAGCTGAATGTGTGAATGAGACAGCTTTGGTTTTAATGGGAGCCAGCTGATCAAGACAGGAGGAGAGTGAGTTATTGTAGTAGTTTACAAGATCGGAGGGATTATCAGATAGCGGGGTAGGGCAGGCAGACATGGTACTGGCAAGAGAGGCTGAAAGAGTTGTGGGGGAGATAGATTTGAGATTTCTGAAGGATATGTTGTGCTTAGCTTTTGGGATGGGGATAGGGATGTCAATGTCCATGTCCATGGTGATAGCCAGGTGTTGAGGTTGAGGCTGGAGAGTTGAGGTATTGTGAGACCAGTGGAGCAGACCAAATCCAGGATGTGACCTCGGCTCTGAGTGGGGAAGTTGATGTGTTGTGTGAAGTTGAAGCATTGTAGCAGTTCCAGGAATTCTGTGGCAGATTTACAGTCAGTGTTGTCAATATGGATGTTAAAATCACCTAGGAGGAGAACGGAAGGTGAGATGGCCCATAGCTGGGTCAGAAAATCAGAAAAGTCAGAGAGAAAGTAGGGGTTTGGCTTGTGGGGATGGTAGATTACAGCAGTAACCAAAGGAGTGGGACCAGAGAGTTTGAAGGCAAGATGTTCAAAAGAATGAATGGCAGGAATGGGAATGGTGGTTGTTTTAATGTACTTCCTGTAAACAGCAGCAACACCACCTCCCCGCCCATCAGGACGAGGT